TCAAGAAAAAAGGATACAAATCAATGAAAGTTTCCCTGAACGAAACCAGCCGACCTCGCAAGTCATCAAATCATAAACACACAAGTGTGCAAGAAAGGGGGTAATGGGGCAAAATTACACAAAACAACCAATCGGGTCGTTACAAATCGGAACGCAGGTACATCTTCAATGCCAGCTCCCGCCATACACAACAACATCAGCTCTAAAATCAGCAGGCAAGGTGCAGAAGTGTAGTTTGAGTAAAACTGACCCTATGTACTCAATAAGTAACAAACCTAACCATAGGTTGAAAGTAGTGACGAGATTGGATAACGATCAGAGTCCAACACCAACAGCTAGGAACAACTCATAACAATATAATGAAAACCGTACAAATTATACTCAAAGATATGATGCTCAGCTCGTTCACAGTTACGGAAAATAGGCATGCTTCTCAGTTATAACAGCAAAACACAAATCTTTCATCAAAATTACTAAAAAATGTAAGTATATCAGAAACTGTGATTTTCCTAAAAACTTTCAACAACAGATAAGATATTTCATTATCAGATGGCATGAGGAAAGTACATCTCTATGCCTACATGTCAATGTGCATGTGAAGTCATTACGAGCGCAAAACATAACACAAAACTGATGCTCGCTAGCCAAAGATAGTATGGTTAAATTATCGTCTCCACAGGGATTAAAGACGATACCATAACATCCTAGCCTCAAGACTTGACTCACAAGCACCACGTATTATTTTCAAAAACCTGCTCAATTGTTCTAACATAGAGGCCAAAGTAACATTTCCTTCACAAGGCATGTGCCCTCACACAAATAATAGAGAGTAGTTCCACACACAATAAAGTTGAGAACAATTAGGAATTCAAGATAGAAAGAATAAACACACTCTTAGAAATAAAATTCATATTCCACAGAAGACGTACCATACGCTTTCCGCAGTGTAATTCTCTACTAATTTGAGCCCATTCAGTCAAAGATCAAGTGGGACTTTAATTTGGTTGTAATGCAGGCTGCGGGACGGGTAGGATACAATTGAGCTTAAGTTCCCTCGAACTGATCGGTGCCCAAAACAGTTAAGAAGCAAACTGATGAACAAGAATGTAAGCCAGAAAGTATTGTATTGCTTTGATATGCATGAATGTAAGATTGTTACAAGATGATTAGGACCCTCTCTATATAGTAGAGGAATCCTATTTATGGTACAATTCTAATTACGGAAGTAAATCCCATGATTAACAAAATAATCGCCCTTGATTTGATCTGTTTCGAGAATTACGCCATGATCTTCAGCCAGTCACGGATATCTCGCCTTTTTGTTATCGTGATTTGCTCGATGTATGTCTCCTTTGGTTTCAATCGCTACTGGCATCAATCTTTGATAAGTGCCTCGGTCCTTGAACTCGGTGCCTTGTCCTCGTACCTCGATCTGGTCCTTTATGAGGCCGACCTTTGACGCAATTCCCTAGCCTCGATCAAATGGTAAAATTGGGTAAGCCCGATTTTAATTCTATACAAAGATAAAATCGACAACCAAACCAGTTATAACGTTTAGTCGGGGCTCGAATATAAGCTGAACAATGGTTTTGCCCTCGACCGAACCCTCGATCCGAAGCCCAACGCATATGAAGAACTAAGATTAAAATAATAACCTTTCAATAGATAGAAAATAGAGAAATAAGCTTGTATTGCCTTGATATGCGTGTTACAATGTCCCCATTGAATAAGAAACTTCCATTTTTATATAGTAGGGGAGTTTTACCCCTAGTACAAATCTTAAAAAGGTAAAAATCCTCCTTGTACATCTATCACTGATACGCTACCGACATCGAGCGACATCCACGCCATGATGTTCGGTTGGGTGCGGATATCACCGCCCTATATTAGTCGTGTGCAACCGTTTGTAATGCTTTCCGAGGTCTTAGAGCTCGTTTCGGGTTCGGGGGGTGTTGTCTTGTCTGGCCCGGTGGCGAGCACCCTGTTCCAGCCATGATTCAAAGAGTTCTCAGATTTGATATCTATCTTGTACATTAATATTTCTTACTTCATTTGACTCACCGAGAACTCGAGGTGTGTGCTGACTTTAAGTTCACCCGTATACAGATAATTCCCTCGTTTCTCAAAGAGTAGGTTTGTCGAAACAATGTGAAATGATAGATGAACCCCGGTTCCTACCTTCGTACGTTATAACCGAGACGACGAATAAGCAGAGATATCTTACCAGTGGCGTCTTTCTGAATTCGGACACGTGTAAATCATCAATTGGTCGACTCCGAAAGTGAAACGTCGCATATTGATTACATTTTCTCCTATAAGTGCTTCGACCTTTTTTGCACTTTTTGATCCTAGCTTTTACCTTCATATTCTCTAGCGGCTATCAACTCTTTCAAATCTTCACCTCTTTATTTTGATCTTCAAATCTTCATAATTGTTCTTAGGTTTCTAACTAGGCCTTCATCCTACCTTCATACTTTTCCTTCAAACCTTCATACCTTTCTTCAGACCTTTATATCTTTTCTTCAAATCTTCTTATTTTCCAGCTCACGATGGCTAAGACTTCCAAATCAGTTCCTCAGCAGTCTGCCGCTTCATCTTCTTACCCGAAGACAGATACCGAGGCGGTTGTTCCCAAGGTCGTTACTCTCAAGATAGATACTCCCGAGGTGGTTGCCCCCGAAGTGACTGTTGCCGAAGTGGCCCCAGATCCCCCCATGAAAAGCTTTATTCCTGAGGGTTGTTCAATCGCAGACGACTTCAAAGTTGAGAAGGCCTCATCCAAATAAGATCGGGGTGTAGGAGCATGGAGATACATGTGCTACATTACTAAAGATGTCCTTCCCATAGTCCGAGAGGACTGTAAATAGGAAGGCAAGGACGTGGTAGTCCCCACGCCCAAGGACAATATTACTTCCCACGTGGAGGGATATTCAAGTGTTTACACATACCCTTTCACGCTGGGCCTGGTAGATCGGGTGATTCTGGCTTTCTGTAAGAGGTACGAGGTGTGTCTCGGGCAAATCTACCCGTCCCTTTGGAGGATCGTGATCCTCCTACGTTATTTCGTGAACAACACAAGGTCTCTTTGGTTCATCGATTCGCAGAGCCAGCAAGGCTCCCTTTTCGAGCATCGACGAAGATCTGGACCGAGGTTGACAAGGGCATTTTTTGTTTAGGTAAAAACTGAAGATCTGATTCCCCCCCCCCCCCCCGAGTTCTTGCCATTCCTCGAGAAGTGGAATGCATCTCGTAAGTGTAGCCTTTCCTTAAGTGTCAATTTTCCTTTATTTCATTTCTCATCATCAGTATTTGTGGTCGTGCAGCCGTTGCCCGGGTTTCAAATATGGTCCCCCGGCTCAAGGAGTGGATCGTAGGGAACTGCAAGCAGATATCATACTTTGAGCGTACGTGGAGCAAACTTACGAAGGGCATGTGGGAGGACCGTTCTTATGTAAGGTTCTCCCCTGAAAAGTTATAACTCTATGCCCCGAAGTTACATAATGCTGACCTTTCCTCTTTCCCTCGTAGGTTTTCCTAAGACCACCGAACTTAGGCCGTAGGAAGGGGACGAGGACACATCTTTATTTGTTGATCCCTCCATTACGGGATAGTCCCAGGTTGCTACAGAGGAGAAGAAAAGAAAAAAAATCCTTGGGCTCAGAGGGGCCCGAGGTGAAGATAAAAAAGAGGGCGGCTTCTCGGCCTTGCAAGCCCAAGAAGAATACTAAGTCCCGGGTTCTAGATTATGACTTGCTTTACCAGCTTAGGGATGAATATGAAGAAGATGATATTTTTATCACTCACAGATTGACCCCTGCCGTAGAGCAGGCAGAGATTGAGGAAAGGGGCTACAAGGCCGATCCCCTTCCGACTCAAGAGGCCAAAGTGGAGACCGGCATTTTGACCTCCCGAGAAGCTGTTCATGTTCCAAAGGAAGCGACCGGTGTGATAGACATCATCAAGACGCCCTCCTATACCAAGTCCATGTTCGAAGAGGCCCAAGTGGGTAAGGGCAAATCAAGTGAAGGAGCTCAAGGTGCAGAGGTCCCTCTCCACTCCTTCTTTGATGGCATAGATATGTCCACAGTGGAAGATTTCTCCGGCTGGGTCACTTAGAGATACCGAAGAACAACGTGCCTTCAGGAGTTGACGCGCCGAGTGCGAGACCAAGATTTGTGAAGCAATTCCTTGTGCCGAGTGTGGACCGCGAGGGCAAGAGGATGGTTGTTCTCACAGTCCTGGAGGATGCCCGGATCCTATTTGTTCCAGTAGGCGTAGCCAGCTACCTCCGATGCCTGGTGATCGAGGAGGACCAGACGAAGATGAATGAGGTGGGAACGTCGAGTCTCTTTAATGAGGCCCAGCAGGCGCTGAACCGAGTAAAGTTTTAACATCTTCAAACTCCTCTTATGAATTATTTAAGTTTTCTTTTGACGTCTGTTACTTAATTCTATTGTTTTACAGGCTTCAGTGCTTCACCACGAGAGCTTTCTCCGGTACCGTATGGAGATCAGCCAGCTCGAGTTTGAGCTCAAAGAGCGGGTCTGGAAGAAGGACATGTACATGCTTCACAGTGAGCAACATGACGGGGTTGTCAAGGATCTTCAGGCCGAGCTGGACAAGGCTCAGAAGGAAGCTTCGACCCTGAAGTGGAAACACGCCAACTTGGTCGAAAAGGTAAAGGTATTTGAAGATAAAAATGAGGAACTAGTCGTGGTGACTAACAACAAAACCTCGTAGGTCCAACAAAAGCTTGACCCGATCTACTAACTCTGAGTCGAAATGAAGAGGTCCAAGCCATGGATGATGGGTGGAAAAGCAAAATGGACATGTTGGCTTCAGAGAAGGAAAACACTAAGGCGGAGCTGGCATCGATTGAGAACCAACTCTGGGTGGCGAAAGGCATAGATGACAAGTGGTCTCAGTAGAATGACGATCTCCGAGCACAACTGAGCTCGACCATCGCAGGGCAAGACGCCCTCGGTAGAGAATATGAAGCAATGAAGTCCAAATTGGATATAACCTCCGCCTATGCCGAAGAAATGGTGGCCCAATACAAGGCCGAATTGGAGGTAATTAAGATCCGCCTGAAGGCAAAGGCCGAATATATGAAGCGGTTGTCCCGAAGATAGACCCTCAAAGAGATCTACGCCCAAGGTTTTGACCTTTCGTTTGAGATGGAGGAAGCCAAAAAGCTCGAGGCCAAGGCGAAGAAGCTTTACGAGCCTGAAGGTGCCGAAGGCTCCGACGGTTGTTGATACCCAATTTTTCCCTACGTATTTTTTTCATATACAAAATACTTTCAAAATAACATATATATGCATATATAAGCATGCCAAAGTGTTTTGGTATTTTTCATAAATTTTTGAAGATTTTTAAAATCAATTTATTGTCCATTTTAGCAATACAAAAATCAGTAACTATTCCCAAAACTATCAACCTTGGTGAATAGTTTATTTCATTCTCATACTTACACCAAAATATAGTTAAGGTGATTTTTGTGTATTTTTACAATTTTATTTGGTATTTTTAAAAGCAAAAATACATACAATTGCAATTTTAGCCTATTTTAGGATTAATAGCATGTATATAATTATAAAATCGGTTCCAGCATTTTTTTTAATTAACATTTATATATTACTAATTGGTTCAGTGCTTTTAATTTGTTTTTAAAATCATTTTACTATTTTTTATAAATAAAAAGGGTAAAACTGGCTATTTAACATTTAGCCTCATTTCATTTCAATTACAGCCTCTTTTACATTTCAATTTTAACCCTTAATTGATGCAATCTCAACCCCAACCCGACCGGCCCATTTTTTAATCCGACCCAACCCATAACCCAATTCAAACGACCCTACCCGGTTCCCACCTACCCCTTTAGATCTAGGTCGTTGATCGTACAGATCAACGGCCATAATTCCCTCTTACCATTTTAACCCCAAATGACTTACCCTAATCCCTCATTCCCCACTTCTCAGCCGCCTCTAAATCTCAAACTCTCTCAAACTCTCTCAAGATCTCCGGATCCCTAGCCTCCTCCTACCCCTTTTCAACCGCCTGTCACCGAAATCCATGGCTTCTCAGGCCATGGATAGTTGGTACTCACCTACCTTCACCAGTAAGCCATGGTTGTTTGAAGCTTCGAGACCTGACCTCGATGATTCCCTCTCCGATCTTCTCAGACCTTTGATTCCATGGCTTCTCCGGCATGCTCCGGCATATTCAAGACTCAGGAGCCAGATTCCTGACCTCTCCGACTCAAGATCGGACCTTCTTCCAAGCCTTTCTCATTTCTAGGGTTTCTCCGAAACCCTAAGCAATTCGAGGTTCTTTCCATGTTATTTGCTTAGATCTATGCTGCATCTATGCTTCACTTGACATTTAAAGTGTTTTCCCCAAAAGTTCTTTTCAAAATCGTTCGTCTTCGATTTTAGGGTTTCTGAAAGGATTTTTCCAAAAATCTTTCTGATTTTTTCTTCTTCTTTGCTTTATGTGTGTTGTCTATATCATGCTCATTTGATTTCTTTTGCTACGCATGTACTGTCTGTCTTGTTTTCTTTTTTCTTCTATACATGTTACTCCTATGTTAATCCTGTTATGTTTTCTTTGCTCTTTTACTATATGTGTTTACCGTTGAGATTCTTTGATTTTTGTCTTACTAAACTCTGTTCGTATTCTTGCTAAACATGCTTCATATGCTTTTGTTTAAGTTTGTACCATCTCTTTCTTCTGAACTCGTTTAAGGTCTGAGTTTTCTCAAATATGTTCTTCATGATCTTGAATCAGCTTTCTTACTTTGTTGTTCAAACATGCTCTCATATCTGTTTTGTTGAGGCTCTGAAACAAACCTTTGAGTCTGTTTCAATGGCTTGCTTTTTCACCTTTTGTAACGACCCGACTGGTCGTTTTGCCTTTTAGAACCCCGTTTCCCTAAATAAAACCTTCTGTACTTGCTTTAGCTAATTTACGACTTGCGGGGACGGTTGGTTCGGGAGTTGGAAGAGTTTTGAGTGAAATAGGCCTAATTGTTTCTTTAAGATTCTCTTAAAAGACCAAGTTTGACTTCGGTCAACTTTTTAGGAAAACGGACCCGGACTCGTAATTTGACGGTCCCGAGAGGTCCGTGGAAAAATATGGGACTTGGGCGAACGCCCGGAATCGAATTCCGAGGTCCGTAGTCCGAGTAATGAATTTTTATTGAAAATTGTTAAATTGAAATCCTAAGAGTTTAATAAAAAGGAAAAATGCTTGATCACATTGATATCGGGCCCGTATGCTGGTTCCGGAGCCCGGTACAGGTTCGGTATAATATTTAGTTATGTCTGTGAAATTTGGTGAGGAACGGGACTGATTTGACGTGATTCGGACGTTCGGTTGAAAAAAATAGGAATTTAGGTGTTCTTGAGGATTTCATGCATTTTGGTGTCAAATCCGTGGTTTTAGGTGTTAATTATGCGATTTGATTACTTGAGCAAGTTTGCACACTATTGTAGGACTTGCGTGAGTGCTCGGAGTGGAGCCCCGAGGGCTCGGGTGAGATTCGGGCATGGTTGGAGGTATGAAAACACATCAGTTTTGCTGCTGCTGCAGGTTTCGCAATTGCGAAATGGCCATCGCAATTGCGAACTCGTAATTGCGAGAAATTATTCGCAATTGCGAAGTTGGCCGGGCTAGGCAGTGTTCATATTTGCGAGCCTTTCTTCGCATTTGCGAACCCTGGGTGTCCGCATTTGCGACCCCCTCCATCGCATTTGCGAGCATGTCAGGAAAGGGGGGCTGTTCGCATTTGCGATTAATCAGAGGGCTGGGCATGGGTTTTAAAAACGGGACTTAGAGCATTTATTTCATTTCTACTCTACACTTGGGCGATTTTAGAGCTTCCAAAGAGGGGATTTCAACATAACCTTTTGAGGTAAGGTATTTCCATTCATCCTTAGTTTAAATACATGTATATTGGGTAGATTAGACACCAAAAATTTGGTAAAATCAAAGGGGTTAGAGCTAGACCTAGGGTTTTAATAAAACTAAGATTTAACCACGGAATTTGTCATGAAATGAACTAGAAATCATATATCATTGATCCTTAGGTAGTAGAGAACGACTTCCTTCGAAAAATTTCGGAATCCGGGCACGTGGGCCCGGGGTTGGGATTTAGGAAACTCATGTAAATAGTTGGGAAATGGTTTGAATAGCTAGAATTCGATCTTGTGAGCTTATATTAATTAGTTCTTACTTCATTTAACTAGTTTGAGATCGTTCGGCTCCGAATTTGAGGACTTGGGCTTGTTCTTGATATTGGGAGTGCGCTTTGCAGAGAGGTGAGTCTCCTTTCTAACCTTGTAAGAGGGAATTGTCCCCTTAAGTGTAAAAATTGAGAATTTGCTACTAAATGCGGGGGCTACGTACGTACTAGTTGACGAGAGTCCGTGCGTAGCTACTATGATATTAACTGCTTGGATAGTTTAGGACCCACATCATGCCTAACTTATGATTATCTCGACATTTACTTGTTAGTATGATCATTTATGATATGCTAGGGACTTGGAAGAAATAAAAGTGAGCATGTGAACTTGTTAAACCCTTATAAGAATTTATTTGCGTATAAATGCGCCTTCGTGAGTATTCTTGATATTTTCTTGATATTTGTGGATCGGGCCGATCGCCTCGGTGTGAATAGATGCATCTATGGTTCGTGCCGTTCGACCCTCGACAGTGCACAATTACTTTCTGTTGGAGCGGGCCGTCGACCTCGGCATGATTGCGCATGATTTATATATATGTGCTAAAGCTTAGTCTTGACATATTTTTTTGCCAAGTGTTTAAGTAATGTAAATGGCTAATCGAAATATGGTTAAGTACCTGATTTTGCTTCTCATTATAACCTGTCAATTATTGGGGACTTTTCTGCTTATCATAGTACCTTCTTATTATATTATCTTGACCCTAGTGAGTATCAAGTCGACCTCTCGTCTCTACTTCTTCGAGATTAGGCGGGATACTCACGGGGTACATATTGTTTATATGCTCATGCTACGCTTCTGTACTTAATTGTACAGGTTCTGAGGCAGATATATCTGGTTACCAGTCCGGTGCGCGTCCTTGAGTTTGTGATAGAGACTTCTACGGTGAGCTATTCTTCCTCCATGCCGACCCGCAGCCGAAGATTCTTTCTTTTGTACTTTCATTTTCTGTCTACCCTAATTCGGACAGTAGGACATTATGATATTCTTTTGATGTATATTCTACTAGCTGCCCATAGCTTGTGACACCAGGTTCTGGCACACACATTAGTGGACTCACTTTTGGGTTGTATTATTATGCTACTTACATTATCTACCATTTTTTTTTTCGGAGCTTGAATCCAATTGGGTATTTATCTCACTTAAATTTCGATAATAATAATAACGTAAAAAGTTAGAAATGTTGCCCAGCAATGGTGTTGGGCGCCCTCATGACCTGTTATGGGAGCGGGTCGTGACAACATGGTATCAGAGCACTAGGTTCACGTAGGTCTCACGAGTTATGGGCAACCTAATAGAGTCTTGTTGATCGGTACGGAGACGTCTGTATTTATCTTCGAGAGGCTATAGGGTAATAGGAAAGACTACTCTTTATTCACTTCCTATCGTGTAGTGGGTTGTATACTAAATTTCCCTCTCCTATTCTCTCACAAATGGTGAGAACTCGCACCGCTGACGTTCATGACCTGGGAGGAGAAGCTCCCCCCATTGCTAGAGGCCGAGGCAGAGGCCAGGGGAGGGCACCGGCCCGTAGTAGGGGACGAGGGCATCCCAGCGTCGTTCCAGTAGCACCACCAGCGGATCCTGTGGGGGATCCTATTATTTAGGAGCAGGGCGAGGCACCCGCAGCTGAGCCTACCCCGGCGGATTTCATGACAGCACCGATATTTCAGGAGGTCATGGGCCGCATGCTACGGTTCATGGATACTATGACTCAGGCTGGTTTATTTCCAGCAGACCCAGCTACTTCATAGGTAGGGGGAGCCCAGACCCCTACTGCTCAGGCTCCAGGTCATGCAGCTGCAGTATATCAGACTCCGGGTGCACTATCTGCAGGGGGGGCTCAGCCAGTTGCTGCAGTGGCACCCCAGCCCAGGCCAGCTGTGGATGGTGATCCACAGAAATTATTGGACAGATGGATTAGGCTTCACCCTCCAGTTTTCCGGGGTGAGCGTCACGAGGATGCTCAGGACTTCATTGACAGGTGCAGGGACAGGCTGCACAACATGAGGATATTGGAGTCGCATGGAGTTGACTTCACTACTTTTCAGCTGGAGGGCAGGGCCCGTAGATGGTGGCAGTCTTATGCACTTGGCAGGCCAGCAGGTTCTCCTCCCCTCACTTGGGATCAGTTCACACAGTTATTCCTGGATCGATACATCCCACCCTCTGAGAGGGAGGAGCTGCGGTATCAGTTTGAGCATCTAGAGCAGGGTTAGATGTCAGTGACCAATTATGAGGCAAGATTCTCTGAGTTGTCTCGCCATGCACTCATGATACTTCCCATAGAGGCAGAGAGAGTACGGAGGTTCGTTGCGGGGTTACACCCCACTATCCGATCGGGTATGGCCCGGAGGTAGAGATGGGTATAGGGTATCAGCTAGTGGTTGAAATTGCTCGCAGGATTGAGGGTTATCGCCTGAGGGGTAGAGAGCAGATGCAGCAGGATAAGAGGGCTAGATTCTCCGGAGAGTTCAGAGGTGCCCCAGCTAGGGGTAGGGGTCAGTTTGGGAGGGGCCAGCCCAGCAGGCCCCCAGTTTCCGCCCTGCTCAGGGTGCTCCAGCATGCTCCTATTTTAGCGCTATGCCGGAGAGTTCTTATCGCCCGCCAGCTATACAGGGCTCCTCCAGTGGGTATTCAGGTCCTCCGGATTCTTCCAGTCCTTATTTCAGTGCTATGCCGGAGAGTTCATACCGTCCACCGAATATTCAGGCTTCTTCCAGTGGATCCTCGGTTATCAGAGTCAGCCCTCTGGGCAGCAGGTCGTCGCACCACGGAGTTGTTTTGAGTGCGGAGATCCTGGTCACATGAGGAGATATTGCCCCAGACTTCGGGGCAAGGCGGTGCAGCAGGGTCAGCAGCCCCAAACTCCATCACCGGCTGCCCAGCCACCTAGAGGTGGAGGGTAGGCCGGTAGAGGCCGCCCTAGGGGTGGAGGTCAGGCAGGGAGAGGTCAGCCAGCTACTGCTCAGTCAGGTGGGGGCCAGACAGCCGGTGCTCCTGCTAGACTCTATGCCCTTCCGGCCAGGCCAGATGCATTGTCCTCAGATGCCGTCATCACAGGTACTATTTCCGTCGGTGGTAGGGATGCTTCGATATTATTTGACCCAGGGTCTAATTATTCATATGTATCATCTCTGTTTGCTCGTTTCCTGGTTATATCTCCTGAGCCTTTGGGCACTCCTATTCATGTGTCCACTCCTGTGGGCGATTCTGTGGTTGTGAATCGGATCTACCGATCCTGTGTGATCACTTTCTGTGGTTTCAAGACTCGGGCAGATCTTCTGTTGCTTGATATGATCGATTTTGAGGTCATCCTGGGCATGGATTGGCTATCTCCACATCACGCCGTCCTAGATTGCCATGCCAAGACTGTTTTACTAGCGATGCCAGGGTTGCCGAGATTGGAGTGGAAGGGTTCCGCAGTTGATACGTCTAGCAGGGTTATCTCCTTCCTTAAGGCTCAGCACATGGTTGAGAAAGGGTGTTTGGCTTATTTAGCTTATGTTCGAGACACCACTGCAGAGTCTCCGACGATCGATTCGGTCCCAGTAGTTCGAGAGTTCGCCGATGTTTTTCCTTCTGACCATCCTGGCATGCCTCCGGATTGGGATATTGATTTCTGTATCGATTTGGCTCCAGGCACTCAGCCTATATCAATCCCACCGTATCGTATGGCTCCTAAGGAGTTGAAGGAGTTAAAGGAGCAGCTTGAGGAGTTGTTGGCAAAGGGATTTGTTAGGCCCAGTGTATCGCCTTGGGGTGCACCAGTGTTATTTGCGAAGAAGAAGGATGGGACTATGCGGATGTGCATTGATTACCGCCAGTTGAACAAAGTCACCATCAAGAACAAGTATCCGTTGCCTTGCATTGATGATTTGTTCGACCAGTTGCAGGGTGCTAGGGTGTTCTCTAAGATTGACCTGAGGTCAGGGTATCATCAGTTGAAGATTCAGGACACTGATGTTCCGAAGACTACATTCAGGACTAGATATGGCCACTATGAGTTTCTAGTGATGTCCTTTGGCTTGACCAATGCACCAGCAGCATTTATGGATCTGATGAACAGGGTATTCAGGCCTTATATTGATTCCTTTGTTATCGTCTTCATTGACGACATCTTAATATACTCACGTAGCCTGGGGGAGCACGAGCAGCATTTGAGAGTAGTGCTTCAAACCTTGCGGGAGCAGAAGCTATATGCTAAGTTCTCCAAGTGTGAGTTTTGGCTTGAGTCAGTGGCATTCTACATGGTATAAAGAGCACTAGGTTCACGTAGGTCTCACGAGTTATGGGCAACCTAATAGAGTCTTGTTGATCGGTACGGAGACGTCTGTATTTATCTTCGAGAGGCTATAGGGTAATAGGAAAGACTACTCTTTATTCACTTCCTATCGTGTAGTGGTTGTATAACTAAATTTCCTCTCCTATTCTCTCACAAAATGGTGAGAACTCGCACCGCTGACGTTCATGACCTGGGAGGAGAAGCTCCCACCATTGCTAGGAGGCCGTAGGCAGAGGCCAGGGGAGGGCACCGGCGCCGTAGTAGGGGACGAGGCATCCAGCGTACGTTCCAATAGCACCACCAGCGGATCCTGTGGGGATCCTATTATTTAGGAGCAGGCGAGGCACCCGCAGCTGAGCCTACCCCGGCGGATTTCATGACAGCACACCGATATTTCAGGAGGTCATGGGCCGCATGCTACGGTTCATGGATACTATGACTCAGGCTGGTTTATTTCCAGCAGGACCCAGCTACCTTCAATAGGTAGGGGGAGCAACGGGGCTGATTTGACGTGATTCGAACGTTCGGTTGAAAAAATAGGAATTTAGGTGTTCTTGAGGATTTCATGCATTTTGGTGTTAAATCTGTGGTTTTAGGTGTTAATTATGCGATCTGATTACTTGAGCAAGTTTGCACACTGTTGTAGGACTTGCGTGAGTGCTCGGAGTGGAGCCCCGAGGGCTCGAGTGAGATTCGGGCATGGTTGGAGGTAAGAAAACACAGCAGCTTTGCTGGTATTTTGCTGCAGTTGCAGGTTTCGCAATTGCGAAATGGCCATCGCAATTGCGAACTCGCAGTTGCGAGAAATTCTTCGCAATTGCGAAGTTGACCGGGCTGGGCAGTGTTCGCATTTGCGAGCCTTTCTTCGCATTTGCGAACCCTGGGTGTCCGCATTTGCGACCCCCTCCATCGCATTTGCGAGCATGGCAGGAAAGGGGGGCTGTTCGCATTTGCGATCGAGTTGTCGCAATTGTGACCTCGCAATTGCGAGCCTGGTGTCGCAATTGCGACATCAGAGGGCTGGGCATGGGTTTTAAAAACGGGACATAGAGCATTTATTTCATTTCTACTCTACACTTGGGCGATTTGAGAGCTTCCAAGGAGGGGATTTCAACATAACCTTTTGAGGTAACATATTTCCATTCATCCTTAGTTTAAATACATGTATATTGGGTAGATTAAACACCAAAAATTTGGTAAAATCAAAGGGGTTAGAGCTAGATCTAAGGTTTTAATAAAACTAAGATTTAACCACGAAATTTGTTATGAAATGAACTAGAAATCATATATTATTGATCCTTAGGTAGTAGAGAACGACTTTCTTCGAAAATTTTTGGAATCCGGGCACGTGGGCCCTTGGTTGGGATTTAGGAAACTCATGTGAATAGTTGGGAAATGGTTTGAATAGCTAGAATTCGATCTTGTGAGCTTATATTAATTAGTTCTTACTTCATTTAACTAGTTTGAGATCGTTCGGCTCCGAATTTGAGGACTTGGGCTTGTTCTTGATATTGGGAGTGCGCTTTGGAGCGAGGTGAGTCTCCTTTCTAACCTTGTAAGAGGGAATTGTCCCCTTAAGTGTAAAAATTGAGAATTTGCTACTAAATGTGGGGGCTACGTACGTACTAGGTGACGAGAGTCCATGCGTAGCTACTATGATATTAACTGCTTGGATAGTTTAGGACCCACATCATGCCTAACTTATGATTATCTCGACATTTACTTGTTAGTATAATCATTTATGATATGCTAGGGACTTGAAAGAAATAAAAGTGAGCATGTGAACTTGTTAAACCCTTATAAGAATTTATTTGCGTATAAATGCGTCTTCGTGAGTATTCTTGATGTTTTCTTGATATTTGTGGATCGGTCCGATCGCCTCGGTATGAATAGATGCATCTATGGTTCGTGCCGTTTGACCCTCGGCAGTGCACAGTTTACTTTCTGTTGGAGCGGGCCATCGACCTCGGCATGATTGCGCAAGATTTATATATATGTGCTAAAGCTTAGTCTTGACATATTTTCTTGCCAACTGTTTAAGTAATGTAAATGGCTAATCGAAATATGGTTAAGTACATGATTTTGCTTCTCATTATAACCTGCCAATTATTGGAGACTTTTCTGCTTATCATAGTACTTTATTATTATATTATCTTGACCTAGTGAGTATCAAGTCGACCTCTCGTCTCTACTTCTTCGAGATTAGGCGGGATACTCACGGGGTACATATTGTTTATGTACTAATGCTACGCTTCTGTACTTAATTGTACAGGTTCTGAGGTAGATATATCTGGTTACCAGTCCGGTGCGCGTCCTTGAGTTTGTGATGGAGACTTCTACGGTGAGCTGCTCTTCCTCCGTGCCGACCCGCAGCCGAAGAAGTCTTTCTTTTGTACTTTCATTTTCTGTCTACCCTGATTCAGACAGTAGGACAGTATGATATTCTTTTGATGTATATTCTACTAGCTGCCCGTAGCTTGTGACACCAGGTTCTGGCACACACATTAGTGGAGTCACTTTTGGGTTGTATTATTATGCTACTTACATTATCCACCATTTTTTTCGGAGCTTGAATCCAATTGGGTATTTATCTCACTTAAATTTCGATAATAATAATAACGTAAAAAGTTAGAAATGTCTTCCGCACTTGGCTTGCCCAGCAATAGTGTTGGGCGCCCTCATGACCTGTTATGGGAGCGGGTCGTGACACCTTTATGTCTGATTCAAGTTGAAACCCTAGGATTTGGCGGTTCCCCTTGGCGATTTTGATTTTGTGTTCGAGTTAGGGTTCCACTTTGGGACCCTGGACTCTCAGACTCATTGTGAGTCTGCAATTGGACTCGTATCCTCTTGCTTACGATTTTGAACCTTTCAATGTTAGAACTATTTTTCTAAGTAACATGACGATTCTTTTGTTTGATTTGTCTGCTTTATATATGAGAAGTTCTTCTTTCAAAAGGGTTTTTGCCAACTACTAATTGATTTCGGATTCCTTTAATAGTGTTTACTTGATTGTTACTGATTTCCTTTAAATTAAACCTTTCTTTACCCCTTTCCTGACTTGATTCATTCGAGTAAAAGCCTGTAACTTTGATTTTACTAGTTGTTTGATTGATTCCCTTTCCTTATTTCACACAAACCGTGTACCATTGGGCTGTTGCCTTAAATAACTGCTATGTATTTACCCTTTATTGTACTGCCTGGAAAATATTTTTCAAATCTCTTTCCTTAATTGTTTTTACCCGTTTGAAATCAGAATCCCTTAACTAAAGGGAGATTGATTACAATATTATTTCCTTACCTTGTTCTTACTTGTTTGCTGCACTATAAAAGGGGCTCGGCCCTTCAGCACTAAAACAACTTTGAACTTTTGAATCTTATGTTCAATACTCATACTCTCACACGCATACTCTCAATCACAATACTCTTTCAATTCTCTACTCTCTTCTGAGACATTTGTATTGCTTTGCTTGCAACTTGGCTTTTCAAGACTGTTGTTTTACTTATTTGTTTTCCCTGAAACTGGTATGTCTCGATTTTGATTTTAGCTTCTNCTCAGTCTCGTTATGGGGTAGATTTAAGGCCCGACAGTTTGATGATCCATATTTGGCGGTTCTCAAAGAGACGATACTTCAGGGAGGTGCCAAGGAGGTTTCTATTGGCGAGGATGGCGTTCTGCGACTCCAGGGTCGTCTATGTGTTCCTAATGTTGATGGTCTGAGGAAGAGGATCCTAGAAGAGGCACACAGTTCGCGGTATTCTATCCACCCGGGAGTTACAAAGATGTATCGTGATTTGAGGCAACATTACTGGTGGCGGGGGATGAAGAAAGACATTGTGAAGTATGTGACTAAGTGTTTGAATTGCCAGCAGGTCAAGTATGAACATCAGAGACCGGGTGGCCTACTTCAGCAGATGCCTATACCAGAGTGGAAGTGGGAACGCATCACCATGGACTTCGTAGTTGGGCTGCCGCGGACTTTACGGAAGGTTGATTCAGTGTGTGTCATAGGTTGACCGAGTCGGCCCATTTCATTCCAGTGGCGACCACTTATACAGCGGAGAGGTATGCTCAGATTTATATCCGGGAGATAGTCCGATTGCACGATGTGCCGGTTTCCCTCATATCAGACAGAGGCCCTCAGTTCACTTCCCATTTCTGGAGAGCCGTTCAGAGTGAGTTGGGGACTCGTGTAGAGCTTAGCACAGCATTCCATCCTCAGACCGACGGTCAGTCGGAGCGGACAGTTCAGATCTTGGAGGATATGCTTAGAGCATGTGTGATTGACTTTGGAGGGCAGTGGGATTAGTTCTTGCCCTTGGCGGAGTTTGCGTACAACAACAGCTACCAGTCCAGCATAGAGATGGCCCCGTACGAGGCTTTACATGGTTGACGTTATCGTTCTCCTATCGGGTGGTTTGAGCCTGGTGAGGCTAAGTTTCTTGGCACGGATTTGGTACAGGATGCCTTGGATAAGGTAAAATTGATTCAGGAGAGGCTTCGCACGGCTCAGTCTAGACAAAAGAGCTATGCGGATCAGAAGGCGGGGGATGTATCATTTATGGTTGGCGAGAAGGTTCTCTTGAAAGTCTCGCCCATGAAGGGCATTATGAGGTTCGGGAAGAAGGGAAAGTTGAGCCCAAGATTTATTGGCCCCTTTGAGGTGTTGAGACGAGTTGGAGAGGTTGCCTATGAGCTTGCCTTACCCCCCCCCCCCAGTTTATCGGGAGTTCATCCAGTTTTTCATGTTTCGATGCTTTGGAAGTATCATGCCGACCTATCCCACGTGTTGGACATCAGTACCATTCAGTTAGATGAGAGTTCGGGCTATGAGGAGGAGCCAGTTGCTATTATTGATAGGCAGGATCGCCAGTTGAGGTCCAAGAGGATTTCTGCGGTGAGAGTTCAGTGGAGGGGCCAACCGGTCGAAGAGGCGACCTGGGAGTCTGAGGAGGACATGCGGAGCAGATATC